GTTTGTTGCTACTTCCTTCATCATTCGAGGTAATTTTTGGGCAGTTTTTGTTATAAAGATCAACACTTCCACACTTGAGGCATTTATTTTCTTTCCTTCAGCAACTATTCTCAACATGCCCCTCCTGTTTGCAATAAGTACAAATCTTCTTACCTTGCCCATGTGATTGGGGTTTCCCTATGGCAAGTTCCCTTTCTTTGCAACATGATCTTCTGGGCCCCTGGTAAAAGTAGATGACTGCTTAGCGGTTGAGTTGTCTCATTCCTTCAACTTAAGGTTGCTGCTCTTGACTTTGGCAGCTGTCTCTAGTGCATCTGCATAGGAGTTTGGTTTTACGGCTATCACATATCCTGTATTTCGGGCCCAACACTTGTACAAATCACTGAATGTTTGATGGCTCATTATTTACCATTTCTGGAGCAAACTTGGAGAGCATGTTGAACTTAACTTCAGATTGCATTATAGTCAGGTCTCTCTGTTCTAGGGTCATAAACATTTTTTCTTACTTTTCCTTGACAATACTTAGAAAATATTTCTCATTAAACTTATGCAAAAAGTTTGATCATATGGGTGGTGTGTCATCTCACTTCTATTTTTTGTCAATAGTCCTCCACCAATCTTTGGGATTCCCCACATTTGATACACCAAAAAGGAAATTTTCCTTTCAACTTGACTCTTTATAGTTAAAAAAATGCTCTCCATGTGTTTGATCCACCTTTCAGCCTCCTCATAATCCATTCCACCATGGAACTTTGATGGCTTAAATTTCAGAAACCTCTCAAGTACACCATCCTCCCCGAGTGAGTTGTCGTTCCTTGAAGTATGTTGAGTTTCTAGGACTTGTGTCACTCAGCTAATGGCTAAGACCATTTGTGCCATGAGACTCTTACCCTCATTAGCTTCTTCTTGAGATTCCTCACGTCCATTGGTTTTGGATTGATTAGTTCCTTGGCCTCGAGTTGTCACCATCTATGGATATAAGTTGTCAAATGGTTATTTATATAAAGTCGATCCAGTACTTATGTCTAACTAATGAATTCATACATTATAAATCTTATATTATTCACAACTTTATTCAAGTCCACTGAACCAATTTACTGCAACTAATGACACTGAGGCCCTATTTGGTTGTCCAGGATTTCAGGTGAGGAATGTAATATTTTTCCAAACTTTTAAATTACTTTATTTGGTTTGATTCTGTAAGGGTAAGGAGAGTAAAAACAAATTCCAAAAAAGGAGCATGATGTTATTTCCCCGGATAATAATTCCACTGCCTAAACCTATGATTTTCTTTTTCCTTTCCCCAAGAATTTAAACCAATATACACGGTTAATTTGTTTTGGACTCTCCTAAACCCCGCCTCATCTTAGGCGATCCTATCCTTATTTATTTTTTGCTTTCATTCTTCAAGGTTCAAACCTCCCTGGCACTTGTACGAGGGTTTTTTTTGTTTTTAGTTCTTCAAACCTCTCTGGCGGCTGTTGGTGCTGCACCAAATTTTACTAGAGAAAATATCTCAACTTGAAGACTCCTGTTTTGTTTGTTGTTTCTTTCGAAAACTTTCATTTTCTAGTTGTTTTCACATCATTGAGTTGGATTTTTTAAAGCCTGTTTATCCATATTTATATGATGAATTTTCTTTCTTAATTAACTTGTTACTGGACTTTTTTTTTTGCGGTACCTAGCGGGCATCCCCCCGATTTTATTGATGAAAAATAAAACAATTACAATTGGCAGTGCTTAAGACTTACCCAAAAGGGAAGAACCGTCTTACAATCATTCTCTAAACTTCGATGATGGCTCTATTGCAGAGCTAAAGCTAAGAGTTGCCTTACAAAGAATCTTCTAGCAATTCCATGACAGCTCTGAAATTTAAAGCTACACTAAACTAAGATACTGCCTTACAAATATTTACTAAAGTCCCTGGTAGTTCTTTGATTTCCTAGTATAGTACCTATCTAATCCTAATGTAAGGAAAAGATTGTTGATCCAAAGATAATATACCTCTCAAGTGGGGCGGAAGCTCGGCAGGACTATCACCTGAGAAAGAATTGCCACTTGATGATTGCTTCAATAGTCCATCCGCTAGAGCATTGACTTCTCAAAAGATATAGTGAATGGGTGTCTGCTCTGCAAGATTTTAGTTATTTCGCTCAGAGCTGCATGATATCAGCACAGAAAGTTTTTACCTTTGCTCAAAAGCTGAACTATTACTTTGCAATCAGTCTGAACTATGACTCTAGGAAGCTCTTTTTCAGCACACCATTGTAGACCATGGAAAATACCTATTACTTCTGCTTCCATACTAAAATTATTACCAATAAATTGGCATTCAGCTCTTCTCAGAGTTCCCCTCTCTCCTCATACTGCATAGCCCCATCCAGCATCTCCCGTAGTGCCAAGTGCTGATCCATCTGTGTTGAGGATAAATTCCCCTGGGTTTAGTGCTTTCCAGCACAGTATTGTGAGTTCCTTTTGTTTTGGACAAAGAATCTCTACTGCAAAGATATCTTTTAATTCCTGAACTTCAGCCATTGATTTTACAGCCATTGATTTTACACAGAGTTTGTGAGTACAGAGGGTCATAAAGTTTGCTCCTTAACTTCTTTAATCACCGAACTCGGGGAGATTTAAGTTCCTTCGTATAGACATTTATTCTGAACTTTCTAAAGCTTCCACTGGATTAGACCAGGTGTGATTATCTTGATCATTTTCCTCGCTGTGAGAAAATCACCAATAGTGTACCAAGTCTGAACAAAACTCCATAAACCTGCATGAGAAGACACAAAAACTCCCAGCATATTTGAAAAGTATTTCCAAACCTACTGTGACTTCAGACATTCATAGAAAACATGAGAGATACTCTCCTCTTCCTGTAAACAGAGGGAACATCAAGAAGGCAGTGCACAAAAACCTAAGTTTATCAAAACATCTGGCAATGGCTTTAGTTTTTTAAAAAGCTTCCATAAGAAAAAAGAAACTTTTGATGGAGTAAATTTATTCCAGAAATTTTTAACAAATGGAACAACCCCTTGTGTTTGACGAAACTCCCTATATGCTGAGGCAATGGTGAAATCACCATTAGTTGTTAGCTTCCATATTCTTTTATCCTCCACAAGCGATAAATTCACGGTTGTGTTTTCCAGAAGATGGAGAACCTGGGGCTGCACCGCAGAAGAGAAATTAGTCAAAAAAAATTCTTTACCTGTAGGTTCTTAAATGGTGGGTCATTCAACCAGTAGATGGACCATATCAGGCCAGAAGGCAGCCAATTGTCAAACCAAAATGACACTTCACCCTTGCCAAGAATCACAGAGGTGTTTGGACCAGCTTTAAAATCCACTTTTAAAATTCTACTCCTTGTTGTTCTGCCTCTCACTGACATTGATAAAGAATGTATAAATTCAGACCAAATCCCTCTTTTGCTCTTCCATTTCTGCCTCAACTTCATAGAGAAAGCCTCAATGATTCCTGAGAAGCTTTGAACTCCTAGCCCATTTTCTGCTTCTGGATATGTGAGCCTGCTCCACGCTCTTCAATGCCTCTTATTCTCATCATCTGTTGAAACCCAAAGGAATCTTTGACACTTCCGTTCTAAGGCCGAGATTGTGGATTTTGGGGGAGCAATTGCTGCAAACGTGTGTGTAGGTAAGGCCATAAGAACATGCCTTATCAAGATTAATCTACCACCTGCCGAGCACATTTTATTCTTCCAATTCAGCAGTCTTACCTCAAAAATATCCAACAGATGATGAAAATACTCAGATTTCTCCCACCCCTTAAATATTTTACAACCCAGATAGATGAAAGGGTAACAACCACGTGGCATCTGCAGAGTTCTAGAAATCATCTCCACTTTCTCCGGCCCAATTTTTTCTGATACTAGAAAAGAGCTTTTCTGTTTATTCATCATTTGTCCCGAAGTAGCCTCATAGTCTTGAAGGAGATTTAGTTGCTCCATTGACTTTTCAGACTTTTAGTGAAAATTATAGTATCATATGCAAAACATAAGTGCGACACATACATAGCACCGGCAGGAAGTCCATATGGGGCTATATGTCCTTCAGAAGTGAGATCTTTGAACCTTCTTGTGTGTACCTCCGATACAAGGATGAACAAATATGGAAAGAGAGGATCCCCTTGCTTTAAACCTCTTGTAACTTTAAAAATAAACCCGCCGGGCGCTGCCATTTATTAGAACTGGAAACCAGCTATCAACAAGATTTGTCATGACCAAGTTTATGAACCTGGGCCAAAAACCAAATTTTTCCAACACCCTTCGAAGAAAATCCCATGAAACTTGATCAAAAACCTTCATCATATCCAACTTCAAATTAGATTCCCCCCTCTCACTTTATGTTCCAAAAATTGGCTCAAGTCCTGAGTCATTAGAACATTGTCCGTGATGTCTCTTCTTGATAAAAAAAAAAGCCGACTATTCCATAGGTATCAAGCTGGGTAGCACTACCTTCGATCTCTCCGTTTATACCTTTGTAAAAATTTTATCGATAAAATTACAAAGGCTGATCGGACGATAATCTGCAAAGGAAATGACAGAATTCTTCTTCGAATCAAGGTGATAACCCGTACTCCCAATTGCCCTAGGAAGAGAAACTCCAGCTAATCCTTGTTAATTATCTACCAACAAATTTGATAGAAGGATCCTCCAAAGCCGTCTACACTAGAAGCACTATCCGGGTCAAGACTATAAACCACATCCTTCACTTCCTCCAATGTTGTTGGCTGAAATAGTTTGTCATTTCCGCAACTGTCGAGATCGTTAAAACGCTCCTTAGCAAACTTTCTGTTGCCTCCTCTTGTTCAAAAGCATCTTCGCGTGATAGAAGTTCTTGGTAAAAAAGGACAGCTTCTTTTTCAATTTCAACACGGTTAGTTATCCAATCGCCACTCCGAGCTTTAATTTTATAGATACGCTGCCTTGTCTTTCTCTCCACTATAGAACCATGAAAGAAACTCAAATTCCGGTAACCTTCACTCTACTATTTGATCTTGCTTTTCTGCCGAATAAAATCTTCATGTTCTCGTAGTCGTTGAAACAAATAAGCCTGGGCGCGATGTAGCTCCATTCGATCATTTATAGCATTTGTAGAGTCATATTGTAGCTCCTTTAGCCAAACTTCTTCTTCAGCCGCCCTAAGATTCTGAAATACATCTCTAGAAGTTGTTTGATTCCAATCTTTCAATTGGAGTTTTAAGCGCCTGAGTTTCAAAGAAAAGCCAAGCATACCATAACCATGAACTGGTTGTCACCAATTCTCTCGAACCACTTCAATAAAGTCCTTCCTCCTTAACCACATCTTTTGAAACCTGAAAAGCCTCGGCCTTGTTTCAATATCAATCTCAAATTGGTGAAGTAAGGGGCTAGGATCAGAGGAAGCCCTATTAAGATGTTGTATCGTAGAACCTGCAAAAGAAGAAAGCCATTCTGTCGAAAACAAAACTCTGTCTAGGCGCTTGAAAACCTTACCGTTCTATCGATTACCAACCCAAGTGAATGTGTTACCTATAGTTTGTGTTTTAGCCAGGTTACACTTATTGATGCATTCATTAAAATCTTTTATAGCAGCTTGGTCCGGATGTCCATTTCTCGAATATTCCTCTAAGCTTCGAAAAACATTAAAATCCCCACCCACCATCCAAGCTTCTCCTATGTGCTGAGTATAGAAACCTTCCAACTCGTCCCATAGCAACTGACTATCCCTTCTTGTAAACTTTGCATAAACAGCGAAAATCAGAAAAGTTGTTTGAAATTGTTGGCTAATGACATCAAGATGCAGCACTTGTTCAGAATCTTTGATTACATTGACTGAGAAATCCTTTGCACCCAAAACCCAAATTTTACCACTAGAGGAAGAAAAACCATAATCAAAATGAAGATGTTGTTTCAGGTCCTCGATTTTATCCCCATCAATCATCGGTTCCAGCAAGATAATTAAGGATAACGAATGCATCGAAACGAGACTTTTCAATCTACGTCGAGACGCTTTATTTCCAATCCCTCTTATATTCTAAAAAAGCTGACTTACCATTTTAATTTTGCTGAAGGAAGATCACCTTGAAGCCACATTGAGCGACGTAATTTTGCATCACCAGTTTGAGCATGCTTTGTCGAGCATTTCCGACGTCCGGGTTTAGCCTTTTTTCCTTCACCATCCGAGATTGATAACCTGATAACTCAGTTCCTGCATCAGTCGTACTATGATCTTCCAATCCATCATCCATTGGTTTCCAAATCACTATGTTCAGATTCCAGCTATCCTGATTGTTGTCAATAATCCCTTTACAGTCCATGTTGCAGTCAGAATCAGAGCCAGTTGAATCAAAATCAAAATCTTCCTAAGATTTATAATCTTCCTTTTCTCCCTCTTTGTTGCCCAATTTTGTATGGTCATCGAATTTGTCAGACAGAATATCGAATCACGAAGACAATGGTAGAATAGAGGCGGAAACAGCGCGCTGTTTAGGAGGGCTTATGGATTTTTCGCTGTGCAGGTTAGACGAATTGTCTTTATCTAATGGATTGGACTCTTTAGCATCTAACAAAGTTGCATCCCAAGCTTCTTGCGACGTTTTGCTTGCACTCTTTTCCAGAAGCTCATTTAGTTTTTCCTTGGACAAACGCCTCTTCTCCGAAGATGGCTATGACAGACTTTGAGTACTCAAATCAATAGGAATCGTGCTTTTTTCAGCCTCTATTAATCCTGAAAAATAAGGATTATTCGGAATCAATGGTTCAAATTCTGAGAGCAGTTTTGCTTAGGCTTCCACATATTCTTTTCCTGCTGCTTTACAATCAGAATAGCCTTTTTCGTTTTTACGGCATCAGCCTTGTTTGAATCCTTTTTTGGCTCTTTGTTTTCTGAAAGATCAATAGCATTATTTGCGTTAAATTTACACTTCACCGAGTAACCAACCTTCTTGTAGTCCGTGCAATATTCTGGCAAATTTTCGTAAAGAACATGCTGAAAATAGGAATTTCCTTCCACTCTTAAACAGATTCGTTTCGACATTTCTTTGAGAAGATCAACCTCCACACATAGACGGGCTACAGATGGTCTAGACATATAAGCATTGGCACATCAATCTTTAACAGCGTACCTATAATACCTGCTAATTTTCGGAGATAATCTTCCTTGAATCTATGTATAGGCCTGCCTTCAAAATAAATCCAAACTGGTACAATTGGCAATTCATAGGCTGGATCAAAATTCATAGTCCATTTTAACACACGCACTGAATTTTTTTCGAAAGCCCACCATCCCTTCATCCAACATCTATGATAATCTTCATCTAAATCAAAGTATATGAGCACATAACGGTGGTCAATAACCCCCAAAGAGAAGTTACCTTTAAATCTGATCGTTTGGAATTCGTGCCACAAAAAATCCATTGAAGGTCTACCCTTTGCAAATTTACCCACTAGGGCTAGTTTGAAGGGGGCTGCAAGCATTTCATTTTCTTCCTTGGTAAGCAAAAAATCCAGCTCCCCTTAGTACAATGTTGGTTCAGAGACAATGATAGGTTTTGGACACTCAGCTTTCTTCAATTGAGAAGCAATTTGACGAGGGTTTGATTTAGGTCGACTTACAGCTTGCGCAAATGACATCTTCTTTTGCTCCGGGGCGCCATCCAGTGGCCGATCGTCGACCATGGTGGCCGGCAGCTGTTATGTCAGAAAAAGTATTGAAGGTAGGGTTCGGACAATGTTAGGGTTTCTAGAGAGAAGGAGGAGAATTATTTTTAGTTAGAGGAAATTTCATAAACATGTTACTAGACTAATTTGCACATTTGTAGAAATATGTGTTGCCATTCTCATTTTAGTTTTTCTAATCAACTTGATCTAGTTATTTGATAGAAAAGTATTCCAAATGATAATGTTATCTTTGTATATTCAGGAAGAAAAGATGAAGCAAAATTAATGATCATCTAAAGCAGATTCCAAATCAGTATTTTTTTTTTTTTGCAGACTACATAGTATTTTGAAATAACTTGCCTTTTTTTCCCTCCATTTTGTAGATGAACAGAAAGTATTATGGAGGAAATGGTATCAGTTCCATTTTCTTTCACGTGAGGAAAAATTTTATTATATTATTATTTGTGTGTTTTATGCTAACGACTATAATAATATGTAAATAATACATTGAAGATTGTCCATGAAGGTACAACTTTTTCTTCTCAAGTTCTAATAAAGATTGTTCTAACCCATGCTTCCAATCTTCTGAGTGTTCATAAGCTGAAAGTGATAACAGAAGATGAGAAAAAAGAGATTGAGGCTATTTACAATGACAAGGTCCAGATTGTCCCTAGGAAGAAATCCCTAGCAGTTAGATGGATGTCCCCTGATCTTGGACAAAAAGCTCTAAATACAGATGGATCTACTCTAGGTCAACCTGGCCAAGCGGGATGGGGATTCGTGATTCGAGATGACAAAGGAATGCTACTTCGTGCAGAATGCAAATACATGGGAATTGCTGGCAGCCTAGAAGCAGAACTAGCTGGAATCCTCAATGGGCTGCGCTTTTGTAAAGAGAGAAACATCAATCGATTAGTCATGCAAACAGATAATATGGTAATCACTACTCTCAATGGTAAAAGTATATTTCCTTGGCATTTACATTTTATCTTTAAGAAAATTCATATTTTGCTCAAAGCTTCCAACTCCAAAATTGTTCATATATATCGGGAAGCAAATGCTATGGCGGATGAATTAGTAAAGCGGGTTGCAAGTGGAGTTACTACTCACTATACTCATCAGGATGAACTCCCAGCAACTCTAAGAGGGAAGTGGTATTTGGATAAAATGCTCTTTCTCTTACATAAGAATTAAGTAATACTGGAAGCCTAGATTAGGGTAGTATTTTAGGTATAGTAGACAAAAATGTCGTGGGGTTTTTGTTTAACCTTTGTGAGACATTTTTTAGTTTATATTCTAACAGTTAGGAAATAAGATGCCATGGGATTATAAAATATCTTTGTAAGGCATATTTTTAGTTAATGCAATCAGAGCTGCCATGAGATTAGTAGATAAATATTTGTAAGGCAGCCTCTTTCCTTTTGGGTAAGTCTTAAGCATGCCAGTGTAATCTTTTTTTGATTATTAATAAAATCGGGGGAATGCCCGTCAGGTACCACCCTGGTTCTCTTAAAAAAATGTAAATAATACATTGAAAGTAGTTTCTCGTATAACATGTAAGAAGAGATCTACTATTCGTGAGATACTTGAAACTCATGAAGGAACTAATAACTGTCATTGGATCTCCGAAGATCCCTAGTGCTGTTTGTAGCTGCTGTTGAATGGGGCCATATTAATAAATTGAAGAAAGCTCTAATAGAAAGGAAAAAGCAGGTTGAAAATTCTCTAGTGAGGCTTCCTGCTCTGTTTCTTAAAAATGAGATTGCAGATACATGCTTCTACGTGTAGTGCCTAGTATTTGGTTGGAACAACAACGAGGGCCCCAAGCCGTATGAGATTAGGCCGACTATGAAGGGAGATATTGGATTGAAATAGATTAAACAGCCAAAGATGTTTTCAACCATTGGGAGTGGGAGACCGACTACCAGCTTCATTCTAAATGTTCTGTTGGAAGAAGTGAAGTCGAATGGTGTAGCATCCTCTGCTACTTCCAGAGCCATTTGTGAGGCAACACGAGATGACCCTCATGACACTGGAGGCTTTGTGAAGTTTATATTAATAGAAGGGCCTAAGGAAATGGTGACATATGGACCATGCAGGATCTCAACACTGTTTAAGACTATTTACCTAAAGAAAAAAGATTGAGTGCCACATACCTATCTATACCTTAACACTTGTAGCAAGGAGTTCTCTTGGGTACCAGATGATTTGTTCAAGGTGAAGCACCACTGATTTGATGACTATACCGAAAGGATTGGCAAATAATAGGTTGTTCTTCTTAGTCTCTGGGGACATTAAATTCTAATAATATTGGCAAAAATCGTTTGGTTTTTGAACATAATAATAATAATAATAATAAACATATCTTTTTCATCATGTTAGATGTTTGTCTTGTTAGGCATAACCAGAAACCAAATAAATATTTTCACAAGATAGTAGTATAGTAGAGCAGATTGTCGCCCACATTTATAATGAATTTCTTATTTGTTTGTTGATCAAAAATATAAAAATTTATTGTGGAAATGATTGTTTAAAGAACTGAATTATGCTAATTATATTAATATAAATCCATAGATGCTGTGGTTAAACAGAATGTCTCGGTTGGATTGTGAATACATGGAGAAAACTTTTGGTTTGCATGATTTATTCGCACGTGAAGATAATGCATTTGTTGAGATTTATGATGTTTATGATATCTGTTATCATAACATATAATAATTGAAAATATTTTTTAAAGGACTCATATTCTGTAAATGACTACAATCGATCCCGATATACTTTTATGCTAGTATTAAGAGATGTTATTCGCAATTACAAATGGTTAGATATACTTTTAGGAGATTGGTTCTTATTTTTTCAAGTTAGCGGCGGGGCTGAGAGCTACAAGGAACATGACAGTGGATGAGCAAGTTGCTATGTTTTCACGCATTTTAGCACATGATCAAAAGGATTCTACCATTCAAAATAATTTCTTAAAATCGGGAGAAACTATCAGTAGGTACATCCACAAAATATTAAAAGCCGTACTTAGGCTTCAAGATGATACGCTAAGAGCTCCTGCGTCTGTTGCTGAGGATTCCATTGATGTAACATGGAGATAGTTTTTTAAGGTATAAAGGCTAAACAATTAATTATACTTTTACTCACATAATTCAAATATTCATTGGTGTTTTTCCCCTTTTGGTAGAATTGTATAAGTTCTCTTGATGCACCTATGTCAAAGTGAAAGTACATGAGCTTGATAAGCCTAGATACTGGAATACGAAAGGAGACATAGTAACAATTATTGTTGGAGTCTGTTCCCAAAAATGCAAAGTACTTATGTACTTCTTGGTTGGGAAGGCTTAGCTGATGATGGTAGGGTGGTTCGAGATGCTTTAAGTAGAAGAAACAGATTACTTACGTGTAACTTTCAATTTCAAATATACATTAATAAGTAATATGTTTAGAACATTAAGGTATTAATTTTTGTCAGTTGAATAATATTTATGGTTTATTCTTAAAATGCAGGTCAATACTGTTGTATTTTTCAACAGTATTTCAAAAGATTTTGTGAATTTATGATGAATATTGTTAAAAGTAAATTTGACTATGTCAAATTAATTTTACTAAGATGAAAATCTGAATTAAAGAGATTATCACATGTTTTATACTACTGAGTCAAAAGAGAGAAAATGTCTAAGTTGTTGGTTCCTAAATTTAGGCCATGACTTCCATGAAAGTTTCAAATCTGATTGAAAAATGGGGATTCTCCTTCTGATCTTTAGGAACAATAACGGCACATTTTGCACTATATATAGCAGGCCACTTTCATTTATCAAAGTGTACAAAAAACATTCTCTCCTTCTCATCTCTTTTATTTATTCATTAGTTCCTTTGTTAAAATCATTTTCTCTCCATTCGTGCAAACAAACTGAAGCTATTCTTAGTGTTGCTTTACTATTCATCATTCGATTAATTTTATTTTGCAAATTAAGTGCAAAATCCTTTTTAGCACTATGTTTTTTTGTTGACTTCAAATTAAAAGTTTTATTTCTTTTATTTCTTTTGCTGGATAAATATTATTTTAGCTGTTCTTGTCCCCTCTGTAATTTGGAGGAAGACTTGTTTAATCCTGGGGAGACATTTCAATACCATTGGAATAGTTTCTTAAGGACAGTGCTCTTTAGCACGACTCAAGTATTATTTTATTTTATTTATTTATTAATTTTTACTTATTAGCATTGGCCTACATTTTTCGTACAAATACTACTTAGTTGATGCAGGTTATACAAAAGGGAAAGGGTTTCTCGCACCATTTAGAGGGAAAAGATATCATCTTAATGAATGACGAACTAGACGTCAACCAACTACTCCAGAAGAATTTTACAATATGAAACATTCATCCGCTAGAAATGTTATTGAACAATGTTTTGGAATGCTGAAATGCATTGGGATATCATTAGAGATAGTGTAAATTTTTACCCAATCAAACAACAAGGTAGAATTATTATGGCATGTTACCTTCTTCAAAACCACATTAGAGAACATGTCAGTTGACCCAGTTAAAATTGATTACGAGAATGGCCATCAAAATGAAGACAATACATCTCACTTAAATGGGAACCAATTACCTCAGTTGAGCCAACGCGAGAGTGGACTAACTGGAGGTATAATTTAGCTACAGAAATGTTTAACCAGTGGCAGCGAAGTAGGAATGTTCATTAGATTGGTTCTATTAGAAATTTTCTATTATTCAATCCTGACTTCAGCACATTTGATAAGGTCTTTTATGTATAATAAATATCAAGTTTTGTTGGATAAAATTTTCTTTTGATTGTTATAGATGTCTCGTCGAGGCAGAGGAACTACTCATGTATGGACTCAAGAAGAAGATTCAACCTTGATAATATCAATGGTTGAGTAGAAGCTAAGCGAAAAGTTTAACGGTGAAGGGACCGGAACGAAAAAGGGTTATCAGAAAGAACTTGAAAGAATATTACAAGAAAAGCTGCCAGGACATTAGCTTAAAGAGAAGCCTCATATTGAATCTCGATGTTGAACATTGAAGAAACAATATTACGCTGTGTACGATGTGAGAAATAATGGAGAATTGAGTGGTTTTGGCTGGGATGATGAGAAAAAATGTCTTACAACAAGTGGAGGTGTGTGGAAAACATATTTAGAGGTAAATACTTGTTAAATTTACTACTAGACCTTTTTCTCGTCATGATTTAATTTCTGATTAGTGGCTTTGTTGTTTTTCAAAATACTAATGCACAATTCATTTTTGCAGGCTAATCCAGAAGACTCATTTTTAAAAAACAAGCCATGTCTTTACCATGATCAATTAGCTATTGTTTCGGGTAAAGATAGGGCCACATGGATTAATGTTGAAGCTCCAACAGATGTGATTGGGAACTTGGAAAGAGAAGAAAACATCAATCAAGAGCATGAATGGTCTGATGAGGACGAAAATTATGCCGAGCCCACAGCAGCTAAAAATCAAGGCGAGGAAACTTCCAAAACACCGGAAAAAAGAAAAGAGGAGAAGTGCAGATGGTTTGATATTGTGTTTGGAGGACATAGGTGATGCGCTCATTTCCAATGCTGATAAGTCTAATGATAAGATGAGAAAGTATGTTGCAAGTGTTGATTAAAAGAGTATGTAAAATTGGCACAAGTTAAACGAGGAGTGGCAAAACCTTAAAGTTTTGATTCAAGCTGAGAGACAAAAGGTAGCAATGAAACTTGTCAGAGATGTATATATGTTAGATTATTTCCTCACCCTTCATGACCTGGCCGACAAGGGAGTTTTTGTTGTACAATTGCTTGAAGAGAATTAGTTTGGGGAAAAAAATCATGCTTTGAGCTTATATATTTTGTTTTTCCGGAGGTTTGATGTTCACTAGATGTTTCGTCTTCTAAATTGATGGTTTTTTCATAATAAATTTGGTTCATGGCATTACAATGTCTATGGAAAAAAAATTCAGAACTCAAGTAATGAATTAATTTTTTTTTTGGTGTTAAATTGATGAATTTCTCTTTTTGATTCACGTGTAAGAACAAAACAAGTGCCAAAAGATAATTTTTTTTTGTTTCATTGAGCATTGTTAAAAAAAATTATATGCATACGTTTTTTCTCATTTATTTTAAGAAAAATGACATTTTAGATAATTTACATCTAAAATATTACTTTCCTAAAAAATAAATGAATTAATCCAAACATTAGAAATTAAAATATCAACAATTACTTTCCTTCTACATCCAAACATGGGAAAGTAATGTACTTTTCTCAATTTTCTTCATAATTAGAATCCAAGGACCTTTACTTTCTTTTACTTTCCCAACATCCAAATAGACCCTTAATATTATATAGTATAAGCAATTCATAGCGAGATTACCAAGCCCCTTCTACAATTAGTCTAGGAACATGACTAGTAAATAACAATAGCCACATGAATTGCTCTACGAATTAATTGCAACGAAGGAATATATAGAAAAGATTACAATAAATCCATAACACTTATATTTTATAGTAAAACAAACTCTTAGTGGATTTACATAAGGTCATGGAATTAAATGCTCTACTTATTACGTGGAAGCTAGTTTACCCCGTATTTAGACATAACAAAATCAAGAAAACATAATGCAAGGTACTAAGGCCTTTGCCATAGTCATATTTATATAATTAGTTCGACATTAACCCTAAACTTTCTCATCACCCTGGTCATCAGCTGCAGGTTCAGATTCGGAAGTTTCTTTGCTGGAGGGTGATGATGGAACAATGATTGGACTATTTTCATTTCCACCCGGAGTTGCAGTAGGGTTGTTGGCATTATTTCCATCCACTGGCTCAACTCCAGCTCCCCCATGCCTTGCACCATATTATCAAAATTGCATTTCAAAGACAATATTCACTAACTCATGAACTACACAGGCATTAAGATTCTCTATCTCCAGAATCTTAAATTTCATCATTTCAACTTCCATTGCATATGCTTCAACTACCATAAGCAAACAATCCCATTCTTCAACTATTTTAATAGGGACAATATCCGGATAAGTCCTCTTGCAAAAACACCATTGATTAGGGCTATGATACTTGGGGGGAACAAACATGAAACGAGGTCCTTCATTTCTGACAAGGTAGTGAATCACGGGTTTGTTTTGTCAAGCCATAGCCTACAATACCTACAACAAGGTTAGTACAAAAGAGATTATCAATACAAATTTATCTAAGTCCAGAAGATATTATTCCAGCTAATAGCGTTAATTGCTTTTATGCCAATCGTAATGAGTCTAATTTCCTAACGAATAAAATTAAAATGACTAAACATCACTTGAATCTTTATTACATCATCCGGATACTTGCAAACCATTTCTTTTCTTTGTGGCTACTAAAAGGAGACACTTATTACAATGTAATTATTTATAAACAACGCATTCAACAATCTTCTAGCACATCTAACGCTTCTTTACGCCTTGGTCATAACATTTGCTACAAAACAAAACAAGAAAGGGTGAACTATGGATAGCCCATGAGCAACCATGTACAAGTAAGCACAAAGTTTAAAATAAATAATTTTAAGTAACAAAAAATAAACAAAAAACATTAAAAATCAATTTCAAATTCATTGCAAGGATGTCAAATGACAACCAATAACACATCACACCCAAGATGATTCTAGGTTCAATTTCACTTGCACATTGCCACCACACTGTGTGCGAGATTTTAACAACCTCACATTCCGAATCATTCACATGGTAATACCCAAACTATTACCAAAAAAACTCGTACTGAATTGGATTAAATCTCTTTAACAAAGGGCTAAACTCTCCGAGAACATCCGGGTTCACAACCAAATCACATCTCAGAATTCAAGTCCACTCAAATACTTGAATAACACAAACACATGAAATGATTCATTTAAATAACTACTATATCACATCCAAAATTGTAGGTAAAATAAAATATAAACAAAAAAATACAATTATAAATATATTGATCAAATTAATAAATCCCAATAGTACACAATTTGTATAATCAACACGTAAAAGTCCTCAAGTGAAACAATGGTTGTTTGGAGAATTTTGTAAAATCCTATATGTCTTTGGCCAAAACTTCTAAGGCTTCCAAAACAACTAAATTGGATTTAATATGCAAGAACACAAAGAGATATTAAATAGGAAAACAAGAAAAGGCATAATATTTTGTTGTGCAAAGTAGTTATTTGTGGAATGAAAACACATACGAAAGCAAAAGAAAAAACAACCATGGTGATGTTCTTTTTTTAAAAAATAAAATAAAATCAGAAAGTGAAAAGTTTGGCAAAGTTCATGTGTTTGCTTCCCAATTCCCATTGACTCAAATAAAAAAAATTCTTGGTTTTGTTGTAGTAGCAAAAATTGGAAAGCTTCAAATGGTGTCTTGGAACGAAAATAAAATAAAAATGAAGTGCACATTTTTTGAACAAAAGAACCAATAAATTCAGAAATGATTCTCAAGAGCGCATGGTAGCAAGGCTTAAGTAGTCTAAAGAAAAGGGCAAGACAAAACAAAAGAATTTGTAACTAATCCACCTTTCACTTCTTTGGGGGTTTTTCACGTTGACAACAAAAGAGTTGGAAAATGGGGTAGTTAGACCCTTCAATTTTTTCACTATTTATACAAAAAATTTTAACTCATTTTACTATCAGTGTATGATTATCTCAAAGTTATTCACTAAGACACTAATCATCAGTTTAGTTCTTATCAAGTAGTTAATTTATATCTAACTTATCCAAACTAAGAAAAAAAAATTCTTGGTCTCTCAACCTGGCCTGCCTGCGTTAGGGTTGTTAGTTAGTCGGGTCAACCCGAGAACCCGCCCGAACCGAACCCAACTCGGGGGAAATGGTTCGGGTATTCGGCGAATTCGGGTTTTAGCGGGTGTAACCAACTAACCGCAGAGGGAACGCCCGAAAACCTGATAAATTATTATTATTTTTAATAAATATAAATACATATATACGACAATTTTCTTTCCATATCTAGAGTTATTTTTTTCCCAATTGTTTTTGGTTGATGTTGTGCAAAGCGACGCTATTCCTTCCCATTTCCACAATCCGGCGGATCCGTTCACCAATCCCACCGTCCAACCAGCCATCCCCCTAAACCAATCCGACCATCAAGAATCCGACCACCCTATACAACCATCTCCTTCAAGAAAATTAGTAATTTTTGATCTAATTAACCGTCGGTTGATCGGCAAAATTGAAGTCGTTGACGACGAGTTTCCAGATCTAGTAAGCTTTTAATATTTTTGAGACCTTCATAGTTTATATTATGCTCTCGATTTGTTCTCTGTTGGTTTCGGTTCCTTCATCTCTCGTCTCTGGAGACAGAAACACACCGATGCGGCAAAGCCTCTCTGCCTTGTTGTTCTCACTTTCCCCAAATCCTTAATCCTCAAGATATATGTTTTTCAGAATTAATGATTGAATTTTATTTTTTTTTGTATTTTTGTTTTGTGCCAAGCTGATGATTCTCATATCTCCCTTGTTTTCATTTTCCAATTTTCTGGACTAATTTTCTTGCTTTTGTGGCCTCATGGGTTTTTTATACAACACTTTTTAAAATTTATTTTTGGAGAACAGATTGATTGGTAATTATCTTTTTGCCTTTTTGGGTTTTCTTCCTTATTCAATTCTCACATTGTTTTTTTTCTTTTTGTAAAATATCTCAAGACTCAAATTGATGAGAATGTTAATGATATTGTGTTAGTTTGACTGTGTTAGAAAGAAATTTGGCTTCTGTGAACTTTGGCTCGTGTATTCTATAAAGATATTGATGTTCATGTGATGATATTTTGTATTCTTTGCAACATCAAAGGGGGTGTCAAACTGCAGATGACAAGAAGGGGAAATCTGGCGTCTTTGAATTCTCAACTCTTGAATTTTTGGTTGTTCATTGTTGTATTAGTTCGGTTGAACCAAAATCTGAATCGACAAACCTGATTACTTATTCGGTCGATTCGGTTCGGTATAATAGATACTTCGCTTTGGTTTTCGGCGGTTCTTGTGAGAGGAAAAATCTGATTAAACCGAACCAAATTTCATCCGAACCGTCGAAACTGCCCGATCAGACAGCCCTAGCCTGCGTTATAAAAGATTTTTTTTAATCAAGAATTGATCATTAACGCTCAGATGTGGTATTTTTCTTGATTTGATTGGAAAATGAAATGTTTTTATCCGGGTTTGTGATATGTTGGTGTAATTTTTGAATTCATATTAATTATGTGTGTAAATGATGGTGGTGTTTATAAATGATGGTATAGATACAAAGTAATTTTAGGACCCATCTCCATTGAGATTGAAGAGGAGTTTAATAAATCAGTTCAAAATGTTCAAGATAATGAATGACATGCAAGGTTTCATTTCATGGCATCACGAAGTTTTCCTTGCAAGAGACTACGTCCGATTATTGAAGAGCTTAAAAAGGAAAATCAATATTTTGTATTGTACATCATTGATATTCATAAGGTGGGTTAACAGGAGGATGTGAAGGCGGGTCTTCGTACAGTGTTAATCAAAGAAAAAGTTACAAAAGTG